ACACACACAGTATAAATGATTCTTCCTTTAATACATAAAAATACACAGCTGCTTTTATATTTTTGCAAACAGCCTCAAGAAGCTTGAAAGCCCCTCCTAATTGGGAACAGTGAAGAGGGGTAAGAAAAGTCCCAACTACTCCTCTAAAGTCTTCAGTTTACTTCTACCTCCGTTTATCTAACAGAGAAATCAATTGGTGCTGAGCTTGATTACTGTACGTCCACCCCAGCCTGAGACTTAAGTCACTCAAAAGCTTGACACGAGTCAATACATGCCAGTTTCCGGTTCGGTCTACTGATTACTGATTAGAGGGAACCAGCACTATTTTTGTTCTACTACTTTAATTCAAATTCCAGAGCTAAATAGATGCTCTGAGTGACACAGTCATATGTGGCCCGGTAGGAACTGTGAGCAGAATCCAAAGGACCGGATCTGAGGCCCGCAGCTGAGTGCTGATCGAGTGAGCTCTCACACTGTGAATCTCCCACTAGCTGCATCCTCTCTACTGTTTTAATGTTTCCACTAGGATTTACTACCCTAGCGAGTGACAATGGGGGCTAAAAACAAATCTTCATGTCACAGTTCATCTTGCAGAGAGAGAAACAGGCAGACGGAGAAAGAGAGATAGAGAATGTCCCTGATGAAAAGACCAGCTTGGGCCATTATGTTGCTTCAAGACGGTTGTATATTTTGAAAACTAAGGAATGTTTGTCGTCAATAAGGAAAAGGGGAAATGTACAATTAAATATATTCTTACTTCTGACCCACCCTACAATACAGAGGGTGACTGGTTATCGTGAGAGGATAATAGGGTCATTGGCCTAAATCATTATTAATTATCTCTTCAAAAGAGGGACTCAATTTCCTTTATCTTTTTCATCCACGTGTCTGTTAACCACGAAATCATCTCATTTGGACTTGCGTCACATTAAATTAACCTTATCCTGGTCTGGCAAAGCGCTGGACAGGTTATTCTAATATTATAAGTGCTACACCACAGCTATTCGGACTGAATTTATGGAAGGTGGTAATCATATTTGAGGTCACAGACTTCACCTTAAGCAGTGAGACAACACACTATGTTGAACACATGTCTCTATTACCTACCTGCATAATCTACATTCAGAACAGGAATTCAAATTACAACTTGACTTTTACAAATTGCAAACGTCATATTATATATAAAAATAATGCACATTTTCTCTGAATCACTACTTTTTATCTTAGTAATTAACAATTTGTTGTATTTTCTCTCCATTTCTCAGCTGCACTGTAAAAAAATGAAGTTGTGAATAAAACATTATATTATATTAGATTATATTATTATATTTATTATTATATTTTATTAAAATAATACTATTGTGTTATGAGAAGTTACGAGCAGTTTCGTTGCAATTATTTGTGAAATTTACTAGCAATTTCTGAGTGAAAATTGTTTCTACACCAAATTGTCTTTGCAGTGCGCACCTATGCTGTAGTAGATGAGCCAACTAGGGGACCTACATCACTCTGCAGATGAATGTCAGTTAAGATAGAAGTGTGCATTTTGAAATACCTTCTACAAGGATGTAACGTGATTGCAAAGAATCATGGATAGCAGAAAAATGCTATAAAATCAGACCCTTTGAAAGTTACAAAGATTGACCAATCAGCATCCAGGACACCCATGCATCAACAGGTTAGGCATCTACAGTGTACATTATATACATTTTCTACAATCCATAAACATTTGATTTTTTTAATTTCTTTATTTTATATTCATTTGAATCTGTGAATATATAATAATATATTTAAAAAAAAAAGCTGAATTGTCAGTAGCCATTACTCCAGTGGTAACATGTTCCTTCAGAATCAATTTGATATGCTAATTTGGCACTCACAAATACCTTTATACCAAAAATACCAAAAAGTTGAAAATGGTTGTTCTGCTTAAATTTGTGTGGAAACTTCAATACAGTCTCTTTTTTCAGGATTCTTTGATGAATAGTGAGAGTTAAAATAATCCACTTGATCCATTTAATGCATTCTTTCTGAATAAAAGTATCAATTTCTTTCTTAAAAAATCTGTGACCCCAGACTTTAAAACAGTAGTATATTATATATAGGCCTATATATATTTAGCAAGAAAAAAAGACTACCCAAATTAATTAACGATGCATATCATTTTTTGTGAAGTTGCAGTTCAAATCCACTTAGCTCAAAAAACTCTTCAATTTATTTCAAAATCGCTTCAATTTATGAAGTCGCCTAGAATAACGTCAGTTACGGCAGAGGATACTTAACATAGAGAGGGAAACCTCGGATTGCAAATTGATTTATCTTTTTTTTCTTCTTTCTTTTTTTTGTTTTTGCGACTTCTGCCAGCTCTATTCCTGAAAAATAAGAGATACCAATGAGGCACAATCAGTTCACCAATGAACTGTCTTTTGTCCAAGTCATCTTAAAAAGCCAAAGCAATTTAGGAACACTTTGTTCTCTCTGAAAGATCTCTTGCTCAGGGACCAGCTAATCAAATGTCCGAGGAGTCTATCTTCGGAGTCACTGGTCAAGCTCTCCACACACTTAAGGCGGGGAGGAGGGGAGAGGATCTCTAAGGCTTCATTACTATATGGCTGCCGAGGGCACATGGTCCCTCGGACATGGCTGAAATCATATCCGTTTGTCTTCGGGGACAGGTACTTATTCATCCGCACCTTAAGCTGCTGCAGCGGAGCGTGCCCTCCAGAGGGACCATCAACCATGGAGTTCTTTTCACACACAACTACACTCTATTCCACCATCTTATATTGCGCTCCCCTTTTCTCTTTAACCTACTGACAAACACAAACGCTCTGTTCCAAAATGTAGTAAACTACCTACGCAGGCAGGATTTGAAGGCATCTTATGTGTTCCAGAAAGCAGACATTTTAATTATGCTGCCTGCTAAGATACTTTGTTTTAGTATTGCATGGCTGCGTCCAAATTTGCAGGTACTTCTTTTAATAACTTTGCAGCTGTTATAAAAGCATCTTCTATATAGTGTGAATGTGTGTATGAATCTAGCCTGGATGAACTACAATTGTTATGTTGTCATTGTCACGTGACCTACCAGTGTCATTTGTGTCGCTTCACTGTCATTCACAAATCCTCTCACTTGGCTTCATGGGATAGTAAAGTGTCTATAAAAGTGTCTATACTTCAGAATCTACTGTTTTATGAATTTGGACACACTACTCTTGTTTGCATATTGTTTTTCATCTACTATACTGAATATCATGTTTATACTACACATATGATTAGTACTTGAGCGTCAGTATCTAGTTGATAATAAATGGCAGTATTGCACATTCAACCCGGTTTCCACCTATCATACATTTTTTTTAAAATAATTATGTCGGAGGAGGTGACTAACAAAAATTAGACTCTCGGTCCGCTCCTAAATGAGTTTTCTCGGCAAGTTTTTTGGATTCGGTAAAAAGGATGGGTGTTTGACACCCCAGCCTACAGGAAGGGGCGAGCAACTGTACATTATTTTTGTGTGCTTTTGTACAGTTATGCTTACAAACTCTTTCCACCTCCCTACACTTGTATTTTGAGTGTGATTCTTTCAAAATAAAGTTACAGATGAATTTCTATGAAACTCTATGACATTTTTCCTTTTCAAAATTTCTAAAGATAGCTGCAATAAATCATTATCATGAATTCTTTTGGCCACAATTATCATTTAGTAAAAAAATCTGATACTGTGACAGCCTTTTTAGAAATATGCTAACATCAATCTCAGCATCAACATAGAGCTCAAATGGTCAAAACTAAAAGTATTTTCTCAATATATAAATATTTAAACACAACAAATAAAATTCACAATATATTACTATTATTTCTTGTTGATTGAATACTGTACCATAGTAAAAAAAAAAATCATATCATAATTTATTTATTTTAATTACATTTATTTCATACTAAGTTTACTTCAAATCCATTAACATGTTTATTGACATATCACTTAACACTTACTGATATAAAATTATAATTAAACTTTATTTGGAGTATTTCTTCATTGTGCAATGCACATTTCTTAATATGTCTAAAATGTGTTTTAATATCACTATTAAATAAAAAAGGATTTCTGTATATTATCAGATTTTAAATGCAAGATATTTAAAGTGTAGCTGATGTCTCCTTGCAATAGTTTCACTTTAGCACAATCAAATAAGCACAAAATTACAGTAGTTATTCCAATTTAGCAGACTTTAAGTATAGCAGTTTAGTATTCTAAAAGTACAATTGCAATGCATTTTTATTAAGCACATAAATATGTAAATATTTTTACAAAATAAATGTATTTCAAATACATTTTAGTATTTTTTTTTTTCATTAGCATAGTTACGACTACAACATACATTTTAAAACATGCTTTGTTTTACCTTCCCATCAATTTTTCTCCAGATGATGTGGAAGATTGTGGAAAATATCGGGCACCTTGATCAATGAGAATGGCTTTAATCTGGTAGCTGGGTAACTGCCTGACTAACTGCACCCGCGGGCAAATCCTCACCCTCATCTACTCTGCTCCCGTCAAAACCTGCCATATCAAGAAACATGTTTAGCTTGTTTTGCTCAGTCAGTGAAATGCACCGCAAGGCCAAGAGAAACGCTATGAAATGCAATGGGTAAAAGCTCAAGGTAAGATGTTTTCTGAAAAAAATAAATAAATAAATGAATAACAGCTTGAGGCCTCTTGGACTTAAAGGCCTGTGGGCAACAGTCCAGTCGGCTCTGTGGTTAATCTGTGAATGCCCAGAATCTTTTTCCTCACTCACAGTCACGCTTTTTCCTCTTAAACACATTCAGAAAAAATGCCTTAAACACATAATGAGCAATGGAGGTAATAATGCTGTATAATTTCCTCTTGGTGGTGGTGATAAGAGGTTGTTAATGTGGGGTCACTGATTGGACACACTGTGAGAGAGCTCCTTTCGGCCGTTTACTACTGCCATCAGTAAATTGAAACTACTCACCATAGTCAGTGTCGTAGAAGATAATGAACTTCTGCCAGGTGTACTCCATCACCACTTGGAAGATGACATCATTTAGGTAGACGGGAGGCCGGACGAAGAGAGTGTAGTCGTCTGGTTGGGCGCGACTGGTGGCCGGGCAGCTAGAGCGAGGAGTGCCCGTGGGTGCCCTCTGGATGAAGAGGTGCGGGATGTGCATTGCGTCAGCTAAAGACTGCAGCGACCCCGCAGACATACAGCCGATAGAGCTGACCAAGGCTAAGATACCTCTGTTCATCAACTCGCAGGCTGTGGGCGACAGAGAGAGAGAGAGGAAATATAAAATAGGAATGTGACTAGGGAATGTGAGCAACTTTATATTTATTTATTTATTTTATATTGGTTTGCTGGTTTTGAGGCACATTCACACCAAGAGCGATAATTATAAATATTAAAATGATTTGTGTCCATGCACCAAGGGATGATAATGTTCTGTTAATTTTAAGTGCATGCTGCAGTTGACATGTATCGCATGAAATGTTCAAGCTCTTTAATCTTGAGTGGATTCTGATTGGCTGTTAGTGTTTTTATTGTTTATCAGCTGGACAAAAATGTTCTAAAAATGATTCCAACAGTACTGACCCCCCTTTTGTCATGTAATTAGAACAATTATTAAACCCTTATAGATATCAAACCCAGTCATTCTGGTCTGTTGGTTAAAGACCAGCTGCCGCCTAGCTAAACTGGATAAACACTTGCAAGACTAGCTTAAAAAGACAATTTGCCCATAAACTAAACAAAATCCTCTCACCATTTTGAGAAATGTCTGTGTGTGTTCTATCTATACAAAAAAGGCAATGGTAACCAAAACTGTTCTTTATTCATTCATACGATCTTCAAAATATCTTCTTTTGCGTTCCAAAAAAAAAAAAAAAGGCATAAAGGTTTGAACAACATGTGGATTAGTAAATTATGACAGAATTGTCATTTTTGGGTGAGCTATAGCTTTAAGTGCAGACCAGTCTGGGAGACTCTATTAAACCAGCTAAGACCAGCAAAGCAGGTTAGTTTAAGCAGATTTTAACAGCAGATTAAAACAAATAAATAAAAGATGCAACTTTCTGAGAGAGTTGAATCATTCAAGCTGTTTAACAGCTAAAACACAGCACACTGTTAGCATGCTAATTAAGCCACCAGCATGAAACACATTAAAACCTTAAGATAAACATAATTGTAGATAGGTTGTAGACAGGCTACTTTACTATTGTCGCCTATCCCTACATAAGGTAAGTACATAGTTGCCTAGTTCTTCAAATTTCTATGACACCAGTCAAGTTCCATTTTGTTCAGTCAAGTAACCATGTGGCTTGCTATCTTGGAGAAATATATTTTATGGCTCAATCCCTGAGAGTAATCACAGGCTGGCAGCCAAAGGTGGTGGCGATCAATATGTCTTTACCAATAGCTTTAATTACAACTGTGCAAATATGATTATTTCCCCTCCACTTAGAGCTTCATTAACAATTCAGCACTTTTAGAGACTCTCCCATCTGAATACCATCAGACAAAAAAACATTTGGGAGTCTATCACACAGGCTAGGGTGTTTATGGAAAAACATACAAGATACAGCGTTCTTCAGTATAAATACTTAGTTTTGAAATTGTAATTTGACAAACATTCCATTCATAAGCACTTACACGGTTTGCATAAACAGATGCTCATCAGCACAGATGCAGCTTTAAGAGCGCTGATTGGTTACTTCATTTTTTTTGCTGCATAAATGCTTTAATGCTTGACTATTCTGATTGAGTTCCTGCAGTGATTTCTGTAATTACACTCCACAACCTACTGCATAACTCCATTTTGTAATGAAGCACAAATCTATTTCCAAAGAAATGAAAGTCCCTCCCACGAATAACCTCACCCTTTTTGCCCTTGTTCAGTTTGTGGCTCCCGGATGTGCAGTAAAGCTGATGTCAGACATGAACATTCATCTCACTTGACTCATTTTATTTAGCGTAACTGATGTTGGGGAAGGTAAAATGCAGTATGTCGAAGTGGGCCATGGAGCAGTGAAATTTTGCCAACTCCGGCAAAAAAATAAAAAAAAATAAATGAAAGTGTCAACCAGGGGCAGAATGACAGGAAGAGAAGACGCAAACAATAGTGCTAAAAAAGCAAACTGCGAAATGAAATGGACAATTGAGGCTCATTGGAAAAACGTGCCTCTACCAACTGTACATTCAATGCACTTTCTAGCTGAAATAAACTCTAGTGGCAGTTAAGCACACCAGCAAATTGAATTTCTTTTTCACATAAATTATGCACAGGGGCAGATTATTGATTAATAAAGACTTACTTTTGCACAATTCCTTGCATTATACTATGTTATGACCTCAAACTTTTACCATAGAGTGCGATTTGTAAACCAGCTCCATACTGTATGTGTGGCTTTTCTGACAAAGTAAACTTGCTTGGTAGCTCACCTGGTACAGCACTACACTTGCAATGCAGAGTGCATTTATGAACCCCGATGACACTCAAAAGAGATCAAAGTATTGTAAAAGCAAGCTAAAATAGAATGGCTTTTATCTTATGTTTGATTTGGTTAACACTGTCGGTTAGGTTTAGGGTAGGTGGTACATTATTTTCAAAAATATTAACCTTTTAGAGCTACTCACCTGACATTCACCTGACCATGAAACGTTGCTAGATTCAAGTTAATCTGTTTTGAATAAAACTGAATGCACCTTTACCGTCACTCACTGGACATTTCACTTTGAAATGGTCATGAAACATATAAGAAGCAACATGATATTTTTCAGAAATGTCGATACTAGCACGTCTTTCCAATGAGCCTGGGTTGGAAAAGGAGACTATGTGCAACCTAGGCCATTTTAAGTCACCTCATATTGAAATCATTCTATGAGTGAACTTTGTAAATGACCTAGGGGATTGTTGTTTTCCAATCAAAATCTGGGAATCATTCAGTATGCTGAGTTGAATAGAATTTTTAAGCTTTGATGATGGGCATATTTGGTATCAAATTAATCTTTGTGTAAATGTTGAATATTGAAAATTATTTTACTTTTGCTCTGGAGAAAAAAACGGAAAAAAAAAACTACTTGACTTATAGGGATAGTCCACTCAAAAATTAAAATCATTTGCTGAAGATCATTTACTCACCCTCATGTCATTCCAAATCTGTATGCATTTATTTTATTTTTTTTTTCAGCTGAAGGTTAATAACCAAAGTTTCAGTACCAATTAACTTCCACTGTACGTTTTGTCCATAGAAGTCACTTAAACATTCTTTCAAATATCCTCTTTTATTTTCCACAGTAGAAAGAAATTCAGGTTTGGAACAACATAACAGCTAGTATAACATTACAAAATCTTCATTTTTGGATGGACTATACATTTAAGGCCTCAAGAAAATTGGTAGCAATAATTGAGAATGAAAGAGATCTGTGGATCATCCAGTGAAAGAAAGGAAGGAAGGAAGGAAGAAAGAAAGAAAGAAAGAAAGAAAGAAAGAAAGAAAGAAAGAAAGAAAGAAAGAAAGAAAGAAAGAAAGAAAGAAAGAAAGAAAGAAAGAAAGAAAGAAAGAAAGAAAGAAAGAAAGAAAGAAAGAAAGAAAGAAAGAAAGAAAGAAAGAAAGAAAAAAGAAAGAAAGAAAGAAAGAAAGAAAGAAAGAAAGATTTTGAGTTAATTGAGTTAATTATGATTTAATTATGAGTTAATTGAAAACATGTTTCTTTTAAAGCAGTCCATTAAACTCTGCAAAACAAAAGGAACTGCCAATCATTCTGAAAATACACCATAATGAAACCTTGACATTTGATCCCACAAAATGTGTGGAATTATAATGATTAACTTAACGCATGCAGCTTAATTGATTAAATGCACAAGTTTTAAGCTGAATAAGCCGAGCTCCAGTTAATAAGATCTTGTTTAATGAGGTAGAGCGTTTTGCACTGCCTCCCGTTATGGCTTGGACTGACTGAAAATGGAAAGGCTGGCTAATCCTTACTTATTAAAGCACTTCTGTGAATTAGTGCAATGATCTGTCAGTGATCCACATTCCTCTCAGGTCTTGCTAACTATGTTAGCGGAAGGCAGCGTTGATCAATCATTACATATGAAGTGTTATAATTTTGCCATTTGTTTGATTACATATGATCCCATCAAGTCTTGACATGGCCCGTTAAGTCTTGAATATTATACCTTCAACTGAAGTTAAAAACACAAGCATTCATATTTGCACTAATTCTCACCAGGGACTGCATTATTCCCTGACACTTTCAAAACACTGCAATAATGCTGCATTAAAATGAAAATAAAGACTTATTTTTCTTTGAAAGTAAACAGGGATATTCCATTCAAGAGCACCGACTTTATTCTCTTAAAGCCTGATTTATTTCAGAGAAAATTGCTTATCTACAGTATGTTGGATTAGTTAAAAAAAAGCTTTTTTTAAGGGTAAAAAGAACGTACTTAAAGAGTGCTTTCTATCACTGTGTTTTTGAAGTTGACTCAATTAGGATGTTTACTGTTAATTAGTGTAATTTAGCATAAGTAATTCATGTTCAATATGTTTCTTCCCAACCTAATTGTGATTGTGTTGATTATAAATAAGTTACGCACTGTTCATTTCCATTTCATTAAAAATACAAAGCAGACAAATAGTGTTTAAGTCTCTGACATATCTCCCACATTAGTACCTGAAGTACCCTGCACATACAACTGATGCACAAACAGTAAAGTTTCTCTTTAACAACAACACAAAATATTTCATCTTGGAGACTCTAATCAATTCATCTTCATTCATTACTCTTATAAACATCAAAATAAATACTTTTAATATTTTACATGAATACAATTTTGGTATTTCTAATACAATTTGAAGTAAATGTTTATTTTTAAAGAAATTACTAATTTTATTAAGCAATGATGCATTGCATTGCTCAAAATGGATAGTAAAGACATTCATAATATTATAAACAATTTTTATATAAAAAAATGCTATCCTTTTGAACTTTATATTTATCAAACAATACAGAAAACACTATTACCATTTCCGCAATAATATTAAGCTGCAAAACTGTTTACAACATTGACAATATAAGGAACATTTCTTGATCGCCAAATTAATATATTAGTATGATTTCTGAAGGGTCATGTGACACTGAAGACTGGAATAATGGCCGTTGAAAATGTAGCTTTTAAATTAATTAATAATAATTAGTGCTGTCAAATGATTAATCGCATCCAAAATAAAAGTTTGTTTACATAATATACTGTATGT